CCTGCCTCGCCGGATTACTCAAAGAATCTCTGCTAGCTGGCCCTTGTCTATTCCTCAAAAATCTCTTAGTCTGTCTCTCTCAGTTCCTCAACGATTGCTGCTAACAGATTTCCCAAGAATCTCTGCTAGCCTGCCCTACGTTCCTAAAGAATCTTTGCTTGTCTGCCGCAAAATATTCCCAAAGAACCTCTGCTATATCGCCCTCCCTCCTAGGTTTAAATTCCCTAATTTTCTCTGCTAGCCTGCCCTCCCAAAAGCACAACCTGCACCCTTCGAACTTTCAGGCTCAACACGCCGGGTTGCCAATCATTTTTAGTGCACAAGCCGAGCCGTTCTCCCTAGGGTCGACCTCCTTCCTCGGCTTCTCTCTCTCTCTGTCCCTCTCTCTCTCTCTCTCTCCGTGTCCCTCAGGGAATATTGCCCTGTGTTGTCCATCCCCTTCTTCCCCTTAGATGAGCCTCCAGGCTATCGTCTCCGCCCATCTACACACTAATGGGGCCCATCCGATGCGCCGGCCCCACTTGGCCCTACGCGTTTTTCGTTTGACGTCAGGGCAGGGGGCTTTGTAAGAATTTAGGCTTAATCGTCAAGAGGTTCACCTGCAAGAAGGCGAGCTAGTGGAGGCCACTGCGGAATTTTGAGCCAGACTTTAGGGTAACAAGTTAGCAAAGATTATTTTTGGGAACCAGGCTAGTAAATCTGCTTGGGGAACTCCTTCGGAAAGTAACGCTGTTTTTTTCCCTTTAGAACCCGCTTGTTAGCCTTTTACCAGTGCAGGCCCAGCCAGCAGAGATTCCTCTAGCAAATTGCTTAGGCGCCCTCGTTTCAAGATTTATTTTTTACTCGATTTTCTTTAGGGTCGGGCTAGCAGGGTTGCTTATGGAAATTTGAGCTGTCACTAGCCCTTTTAAGCCGAGCTGAACTTAGCGAGTATGTGGGTAGACGTAATTTGACCTTTCTGAGCTCTAATTCCGGAAATTCCGGAAACTGCGACAACTGACCTCGATCTGTTCCACCTGAACTCCTCCAAGATGTCATCCTGAATGTTGCTGATCCTGATCCCCGTATCCGCTCAACCCAAAAAAGTGCGGGGAGGCATTCAGGCGGGCAAGGTCTGCTGTTTCTGTCTGTCTATTGGAGTGCTGCGTAGGGTTCTCCGTTTCAATTACCTTGGCCAGGCCATATAGAGTCTCTCTCGGGGAGATAGAGCGAGAGAGAGAGAGAGAGAGAGAGAGAGAGAGCAACCTCCCGGCCATGGCCAAAAGCCTAATTTGTTCGGGCGTAGGGGGCTTGGGTAAAGGGTCCCCCTCGAGTCGTGGCTGCTCTCTCTTTTGTCCAATTTCCAGGCTTTTCCCCCCTCTGCCGCCTATGGCTTTTGCTCTAAGGGCCCAGCTTAGGACCCTTTCCTCTCCTTTCCATTGTCCCCTTCCTCTACTGGACCTAAAAAACCTGCTTTTCCGGGTGGTGGGAATCTAATTTTTTTGCATTCTAATTAGTGGGTTACCTGGAATTTTTGCATTCGAGGAAGTCGGGTATATTTTTGAAAAATCGGGGCGGACAAAGTTATTCAAAAAAAACCAGAAAATGAAAGAATTTTAAGAATTTCTTATATCTATTTTTCCTTCTATTTTTTGAAATTTTCCATAAGTGTTAAATCTGGATTTTAAAATCGTCCTATTTACTAAATGGCTAACTAAATAGCTAACAATACTCTGAGTTGGCGGAATTTTAATAAACAGGTTTATTAAAGATTTAACTTAATGCAATATTTAATAGGGATTAAAATCTAATTTACTACATTCTTTTAATAAAAATTAAAAATCTTTTCAATGCAACTTTTTAAACAGAACTTTTAAATGTTATTTCAAATTCGACTAATTGGCCTTTTGTAAAGATTATAATCTCTTTTTTCCATCAAAATAAAATTTCGAACATCTATTAACACAAAAAATGCCGTCAAACAATTTTTGCTACATTTGGCCAGATTGAATACTATTTTCATTTCGTATTTTTGGCTTAAGTATTCGCCCCCGTAAAAACCCGAAGCGGTACTATGGTTTCTGAAAATACCCCACACTTTCTCACACACCCATTACCATTTTCACCTGGCCTCCGGGTCAGGAGCCCGTCAGTGCAACAAGAGTCGATTCCCGGTTGGACGCTGTTTTCAAAGTTTCCCCAATGGTCGTTGCTAGATTGCCTTGCAGCTACGAAATTTGCAATGGGGTGTGCTAGTTTGCTATTTATGTAGAAACTTCCTTCAATGCCCTCTGCTGGTTGGCTTTTGTAGGTCGAAAATTTTTCAATGAACTCTGCCAGTATGCGATTTTGGCCCTCAAAATCCTAATGTTCCCGGCTAGCTTTCCGTCCTCAACGACCACTGCAACTTGGCCTAAATTCCCCAAGAATTTCTGCTAGCCTACCATTTCTCAAAAGCTTGCCCAGCCAGCTATAGTCGATCCCCCGTGTCCCACCAACGTGCCAAACTCCAATCAGGCAACACCTTTCCGTTGCCCTTTAGCCTTGCCTCGCGCCCCACTGAGGGAAAATGATTTGAAACCGGATATTCCGGAGGCCAGGGAATGGATAGAAGAGCGAGAGAGAGAGAGAGAGTGAGAGAGAGAGAGATGAATAGACATACAGACAACCACTTCTTCTTCTAGGGTTTCCTTCTCCTCTAAAATGGCCACATTCCCTTCACCCTTTTTGGGTGGTCTATGCCAAAAGCCCGGTATCGAATCGATTTCCGATCGGCTACTATGGGAATGGTTGAGGGATCGTTGCGAATTTTTGCTCATATTTTGCCAAAAAGTATATCCCGATCTGATTCCTGAATTTTCTGCTCGCATCCTGGATCTTTGGAAGATCCAAGGACCTCTGCTAGCTTGCCCTGTCTATTTTCTCGATTTTCCTAAAGAATCTCGGCTATCCAGCTTGGCCACTTATCTGATCGCTGCTCGCTAATGATCTCTGCTAGCCAGCGCTGCCGGCTCAAGCAACGTTCAGACCGTTTTTCAAGGATCTCTGCTGGCTTGCCCCGTACCAGACTAATTTTCCTAAAGCATCTCCGCTAAACTTCCCTAAGCATCTCTGCTAGCTTGCCCATTCGCAGATCCAGCATTTCTCAAACAACGTAGCTAGGCTAGGGCTCCTTGCTTGCTCCCTAAATTTCCCAAAGTACCTCCGCTAGCCTACCCTTCATCTCCTCAAAAACCTCTGCTAGCCTGCCGTTCCCTACCTTCCGTTTTCCCAAAGAATATCTTGCGTCGCTCCTAAAAACTGCAGTGTTCTTTTTCAAGCCGTCACTTTTCTAAGAATCTCTGCAAGCCTTCCCCACCGAACTTTCCCTGCTCTTCGACCTTTCCCTCCAAATAAAATTCCGGTGCGGGGTTAGAAAAAAAAATGCGGGGCGACCCCCTACAGCCGGTGGAATGGCATTAATCGAGGCGAGAGAGAGAGAGAGAGAGAGAGAGAGAGAGCGAGAGACAGCGAGAGAGAGAGAGAGAGAGAGAGAGAGAGCCAGAATATATATGGGGTCCCGGTGCCGTGTGATGGAATTAGTGGGTATTCGGATTGACTTTGGATTGACTTGAGAGATGGTCGATGGGGTGAGTGGACAACGGCACACCACCCTCAAATCCACCACCATTTTTTGCTAATTTTCCTGCATCATATCAGTGAAGTACCGGAAATGTGTAAATTGGTCTGCGCCGGATTGCGCCGCCTGATTTCCACTACAGACATAGAAGTATTCCGGGTCGGCTGAATTCTCCTTTGGCTAATTGGTTAAGCTCTCGCTTTTCACCATTACGATCCGGGTTCGACTCCCGCTCAGTGCGGAACTTTTTGCTTTTTGACCAAGTCATTCAGATACCTATCACTTTAGCCCAGCCCTTTTTTTTCTTTAATTCCACCGTCATTTCGAATTTTAAAGGTCCAGGCAAGGACAAATTATGGATTGTTTTTCATGGACCTCTAGAGCCTTTGCCGAGTACGTCAACATCCTAATCACGCCGTACCCGTCCCTTTAAAGGGGCCTGCAAAGTAATTTTTGCCGTATATTTTCACATCCGCTTTTTCACAATTTCTTTTCCTCTTTCTCTTTTTGCTCATTATCAATTTGTCCTTTTTTCCATATCGTATCCCGATTACGGTCGGTTACGAAAATTGGCCCCTAAAAGCGCGTGGGTTCTGAATTGGCACCCCGAAATTTCCATTAGCAAATTGGTAGGGCCGGCGCTAGCGTGGACTTTCGAGGGGGCGTAATTAGCATGGCTGGAAGGGGGGTGTTAGTAGATTTATCGGATTTAAAAGGCTTAGGATCAAAACAAAGTAGTTTTGCACCATGAAAAAGGTATCTAACCTTTGTCTTAAAAGAAAATTTACACTACGCAGGGTAGCATAATTTTTAACGTCATCTATTAAGTTTAAAAAATTGTTTAATTAGCATGTTAATGAGCCCGTCATTAGTGCGCCAATGGACTTTAGGCAAAAAAAGTTAAAATCCTGATTTTCCGATTTCTTTTCAGGTAAAAATTTGCAATTACAGATTCAAATCCGCCCCAAAAAATACACCAAAAACGGTGCGAATTTCCGCGGGAATTTCGAATTTCGAATTCTTTGGGTGATGGGGGGAATTTTCTATTATTTGGTTGTGAGGGTTGAAGAGGGGGGATCCCGTTTCTTTTGGGCCTATAGGTGAGAGGAGGGGGGAATAGTGGAAGGGCCCAGTGACTAGGGGCCCACTAGGGCCCAGAAGAGAGAGAGAAAGAGAGGGAGAGAGGGGGCCCACAGGGGCGCTGGGGGGCGGGGCGTGCTGCGTTGCGTCACCCTATATCTTGACCTCCCCAATAGAGGCACGGCAGGGGAAATTCTATCTCTAAAATTCTCTAAAAACTCTGTATATATAAATATTAAAATCTGTATATTCTATATCTATTAAATAATAAAATTCGATACCTCTCCAATCGATATTTTGCGTTGCCGGTTCCAGATGCCGAATGTCGCTGCTGTGCGTGACAAGTGGGTGACGGGTGTTGTTGCGGTATAAACTCGCCGCGCCAACATCTTCAACAAGTTCACACCGGCCGTTTTTTGGGGGTCCCCAAGGGCCGGGCAACCCATAAAAATGGACCCCGACTCGTTGACACTGGTCGTTTCAGTCAAGAAGGCTCGGCTACTCGGCTCCAGTGGTGGGTTCTACCGATTTTTGGAGCTCTTAAAATGAGTACTACGCCGCGATACTATGAACAGGAAAGTGAACCATAATTATTGGGTTTTTTGGGGGAAATTGGCGCCTTGGGAATAGCAATTTGGGTCCAAATTTTGCAGAAAATTGCTAAATTTGAGTGAAAATCCCTTTTTTCGATTTTCTACTCTTGAATTTGAATGGTTGTAAAATCAGTTTAATGTTATAGAAACAAATTCCATAATTTAAGCCCTATTTTAATTGCGTAATCGGTTAAATTAACTATTAAAAAATTGCAAATTGTCGCTGAATTAAACAGAAAAAGCAAAAAAAATTAGATCAATGCTTTCTAAACTCAATTAAAATTTTCGAAAAAATCCATCTTTGTTACTTTGTTGCTGGTCGGTGCAAAAATAGCACATTCCTTTTCGAAGCTCCGGGTCAGTCGGTAGAGCATTGGACTTCGAATCCAGCACTCGAGGGTTCGGATCTTGCGATCGTTTTTATTTTTGCTTTTTGCTCAAAAGTGGGACCCCTCTTTTGGCGTTTTTTGTTAGTAAGCATCTAAGAATTTTCTCACAGAAGTAGAGGGAATCCTGTTTTGCTATCCTAAGCGCAAATACTTTACAAAACTACCAACAATATCAACTTTTCGACAAAATTTTTGGAGTTTAGGTTTCTTCAGATAGTTTTTCTGGTTGAAATTTGATTGAATTTTATTAAAAGTAATATAAAATTACGTGCTATGACATTTTTAGGTTGTGTTTTTATTTTTGGGTTTGTAGAAAAATTTTGCGCTGGGAAACCCCCCTGATACTGCCAAAGCTCCTTCCAATCGATTCTCCTTTTCCACTCCCAAATCTCTCCCGAGCATTCAAATCATTTCTTTATTTTCACATTTTCCCAAGTGAAACCCGCCAAATCCGACATCAGTGAATCTGCCCGTATTTGAAATACACCCACCAGAACGGCGCCTAATCCCCCGGTCCCATTTAATTGCGTTTGAATCGCCCCCGACCACCAGATATGGCTGCAAAATTGAAAACAGCAAATACCGTATCGACCGCTAATATATGCGTACGCCCGTGGGCAGGGCGAAAACAAGAAATTTGAGCTGGGCCCGTGGTTCTTTGGTATAGAGTAAGGGGCTACATCGCATCCAAATTACGGCCGGGAAACAGTAGATAATTTTAAGGGAAATGAAACGAAGAAAAACCTATCTTTTTTAATCACGTAAGCTGGACCATCTAACAGAGATTCTTGGGGATCGAGGCAGGCTAGCAGCGGTTTTTAGACGAATTTAATAGGATTTAAAATTGTATTTTTTTACTTGCCTTCTAATTTGCAAATTTTCACGTTATTTTTCGATGTTCGCTAGCAGCGATTCTTTGGGGAGCGGAAATCCAATCAACCGTCCATTTTCCTCAAAGAACCTCTGCTAGCTGCTTTTAAACAATCAAACCCGAAGGCAGGCTAGCAGAGATTCTTGATTTCGGGTCCGAAGAATATGAAAATTGGCTATTTTAGCACAATTTCCCAGGAAACTAGGAAAATTCCTCATGCTCCCTGTTTCATCGCCCCCATTTTTTTCTAGCGGTCCCCAGGCCACGCCATAATATGCTTAGGTCCGCGACGACCCACAAGGGCCAAGAGTCGCCTTCCTTCCCCCTCATAAGATGAGAAGAAGGAGCAATTGGGGGGCTCACCGGGGCCCAGGGGCCATTTCTCATTATTCGCTGTCGACGACCACCGGCTACGGGGACTGCTCTTTACAGGGGACACAGAATAGGGCTGAAAAAGAGGGGGGAGGGAAGGGGATCTGATGTCAAAATGGGCAAAGAAAAGGGGGAATATTGCAATTCGGGTGGATATCGCTCTACTAGACCCTGTCATTTATGAGGAAATTAAAATTCTGAAATTCTGCACTCGCCGACACGGGCTTGACATGAAAATGGAATTTTTAAGGGGAATTGTTGCGTTTTAAGATCAAAATTACACTAAAAAATGCATCGAAAATGAACTCAGAGATCGGCAGGTTAGCAGAGGTTTTTCAGGAAGGGAGACTAGCAGAGATCCTTGGGGAAGGGCAGGCTGGCAGCCATTCATTGGGAGCAGACTAGCAGAAATTCTGTAAAAACGGCATGCTTGCAGAGACTTGCAGACCGAGAAACTTTGGGAAACGGTGAACTAGCAGAGGTTATTTGGGAAATGGTCAGCCTGCAGAGATTCGTTAGGAGAGGGCAGGCTAGCAAGGATTATTTAGGAACAGGCAAGCCAGCAGAAGTTTGTATGGACGAGGCAGGATATCATTAATGCGTCCACAAGACCAGAAAGCTATTCAGGAAAAAACCCGAAAAAGCATTCCACACCCATCCTATTTCCAGACGAATTCCACTCGTACGTCACCGTCAAACTCCAGAATGTGAAGTCGACGACGATGGCCGTCAGAGGGGGGCAGCCACAATGGGAACAGGAGTTTATATTGTAGGTTGTAGCTTGTAGTTTGTAGCTGACAGCTAAAATCTTTCCGATGATCCCAGCAACCCCAAATTTCAGCGAGACAAACCGGCCTGACGAGAGTATGAACATCGAGCTGTGGTCGAAGGGAGTACTGTGGGATAAATTGTTAGGGGTTGCACTGCTTCCGCTTCATCAAGTGCATTTCTCCGCACAACCTGGAGCAGGACAGTGGCTACAGATTGGTAAGTCATTGGGATATGTTAATTATTGCGCGGTAACTAGAGAGCGAAAGCGAGAGGGAGAAAGGGAGAGAGCGAGAGAGAGATAGATAGAAAGGGAGGGAGACAAACAGTTTGAGAGAGCGCGCGCTAGAGAGAGACAGAGGGAGCGAGCGTGAGAGAGAGAGAGAGAGAGAGCGGTTGGGAACTTCTTCCTCTTCCAATCTGTCATTTCCAGATGCCGAAGTTGAGACTCGTGGTGGCGTAGCGATAGGAACTCGCTCTCCCACCGGCCATTCCCTACTCGTTGATGCTCGTTTTGAGTTGCCGTTCGGTCAGTTATTTGCTCATTTTTATGAGCTCTTGCTCACTTTCTCCTGCTCTCACATTTCATTTTACTCTCATGTGTACTCTATCTCTCACTCTCCCGTTCTCTCTCTCTCACTCTCACTCTCCCGCTCACGCTCTTTGTCGCTCTCACGCCCTATCTCGCACCTTTTTTGCTTCTTATGCTCTATCTCGTTTTCTGGCTCTTTCTAACGCACTATTTCTCTAGTTTTCGGCTAATTTTTAAAAATCGAATTTGGAAAAGTTATTTTTCTGCCCATTCTTCCTAGATGTATCCCAAAAGTTTCCATCTCCACCAAGCCAGTATCCCAAAAGCTCTGCTACCCCCTTCGGGTCCATTCCATGAATATTTGGGGGCCCTCGATTTTCTTCCCTTTTTGAGATGGACACGAGAAGACTAGCCCCCCCCCCGGTTGGATAGATCTATGAAGTGCTGTGTATCGAGGGGAGAAGCCCCCTTCCTCTGCTTTGTCGGCTTTTCGGCTTTTTTTCGTAAAGGCATCGGTCGGCCTCCTCGCGGGGGGGCTGGGGCTCAATCCCGGGGGGCCCTTATGCCCTTAGAGAGAAGAAGAAGCCGGCCACGATCTGAAATGCATCCGCTGAAGGGGGGCAGTCTTCAGCTTCACCCCCTTCCCTTCCACAACCCTTTAAATTATTAAGACCCGGCGGGGTTGGGGGTTATTTAATGGCTTTTTTTTTGGGTCTGGGTGTGTCTTTTGACTTTCAGTATTTCCCTCTATCTCTCTCTCTCTCGCTCTCTCTCCCTCTCGTTTGACTTCTCTCGACACTTCCTCCCCCGCGAAATAGTCATTATTTGTGGGTCGGGCCCTAAAGGTTGCGTTCGCCGGTTTTTTTGGTTCTGTCGATTTTTTGGTTTTTGCCCTTTTAAATTTGTAAATTCCCCAAGAATCTCTGCTCGCCTGTCCCTTTTGTACGGGGCTTCGAATTCCTAAAGAATCTCTGCTGGCTTGCCCTCCTCGACTGCATTTTTTCGTAAATAATCGCTGCTGATTATTATCAATTTCATAAAGAATAACTGCTCGTATTCTAGAGCCTGTTTTCCCTAAGAAACTCTGCTAGCTTGCTCTTTTACCTCCTCGAATTTCCCAAGGAATTTCTGCTAAACTATCGGGTATGTTTCCGAAAGAATCGCTGCTGGCCTGCCCGCTCCATTTCTTTCCTCAAGAATCTTCAATCTCGGCTTTCTTTTCCGTTTCTCCCTAGTTTCCTAAAGAATCTCTGCCAGCCCACCAATTCTGACTTCTTTGTGTCCACGCTCCAAAATTCCGTATATTGTTGTTATGTGTTCGTTATAGGGGGGGTGTTCTGGGTGGAAGTTGATGGTCCTCCCCCCATCTCTTCCCTCCCTAATTGCCGGCCCTTCATCCCTTATTTTGCTTTTTCCTCCCCTCTGCGCGGGCTTCACTTGACCCACTCTTCCGCCACACAAAAAAAGTCGAGGATCCAATTTAGTTTTTTGTCGCTTTGCATGCGTCGCCATTTCGGAGAGAGAGAGAGAGAAAGAGAGAGAGAGAGAGAGAGAGAGCGAGAGAGAGCGAGAGCGATAGAGAGAGAGAGAGCGAGAGAGAGCGATAGAGAGCGATAGAGAGAGCGAGCGAGAGAGAGCGATAGAGAGAGAGAGCGATAGAGAGGGAGGGAGGGAGGGAGGGAGAGAGTTCTTGACTCATCTACGCTAGCATGCCCTCGATGCTAAATTAAGATCTCTTTCCAGCCACCAACCTTCTGATTGACCACCATTTTTTTCATCCAAATCCATCCCGCGCCGACCCATTCCATTTTATGGCCACACGAGACCTTTTTCGGGCCTGAATTCTATTTTTCAAACCAAAGGAAATTTTGGGCAATTATTAGTGGGGTTGATAGAGGAACATCAAGGGAATTTAAACTTTCGGGCAAACGAGAGAGAGAGAGAGAGGGAGAGAGAGGGAGAGAGAGAGACAGAAAGACGGGAGAGAGAAACTGGCAGCCTAGCGGAGAGTCTAGCATGGGCAAACTAGCAGAGGCGATTTAGGAACCGTGCTGTTTTAAAATTGGTATTATTTTAGGGCATGCTAGCAGAGATTCTTTGGGAAATTCAGGAAAATTTGGAGTCGTTTTGAAAAGGCGACTTTAAAAAACTTCAATATTTCAAAAATGGTATTTGAGGCCGGCTAGCAGAAATCATTTAGGGATCGAGCCGACGATTAGAATAAAGGATCATTAGCGATTTTTCGAAGGCAAGCCAGCAGCAATAATTTGCGGAATTTATTTGTGTTTTTTTTGTGCTCCTCCTCAAACACACACCAGAACCCCCGTCCCCGCCCCCCCCCCCCTCATTTGGCCATTTGCCATCCGATGTTGTGGCCCTATTCTATTTTTTCGCGTTGTTCGAGTGCCCTCCCCTTCCATTCTATGGCCCGTTTGTTGGTTCCGGAACAATGCTAATTCCACCCCTTTTTTGTGGCCCTCCCCTCCCCTCGTTTCTTAGGGCCCACCCACCCCCTAGGATGATCATCTCCTCCCATTGCTCTTCCTCACCCACCCAAAACCCCCCTATAGACCGGGAATCGCTGCCTTTTATTGCTTGAATTTTCTCATTTTACCCCGTCCTGAGCTACCAATTTTCGGGCTTCTCGTTGCTTCATCCTTATTTTAGTGAAGGCAAGCTAGTAGGGATTTTAAGATTTTTAGAATTTTTGATACCGTGATTTGGAAAGTTCTGGATTTCGTTGTTCGAATTCTCTATATCTATCCCCCAGCATTTTGTGAGGCTGCTTCATCCTTATTTTAGCCAGGGCGAGCTTGCAGAGATTTTTGAGATCTTTAATTATCGGTGCTGGTTCTTTATCGGGGGGACGGTGAGGAGGTGCCCAAATTAAAGCGGCAACGTTGTGGGGCATTCCAGCAGAGAACATTTGCCGAACCCTGGGAATCTGGAGCGAATAGCGTGCGCTTCTTTGAGTCGTGGTGCTCCTCTTTCTTTTCCAGCGTCAATCTGGCTTACAATCAATTTAGTGGGCTTCCCCTTCTTTCCCTCCCCAATTTCGGGGTCCCACCACGCGGCCCCTAGTCCCTCCTAGCTCGAGATATAGTCTTAAGTTTTTTACTATTTCTGTTTCTGTCAATATTTTTTAAACCCAATCTTCCACTACGAATTAAATCAAAAGAATTAAACTTAAACTCAGTTTAATTACAAATCCCTGTTTCCAGATGCTGCACCAGGAGAAGCTGAACTGCTCCAGTCCCGTCTCGACCAATTGAACAGGTTGCAACTGGAGGTGTGAATTTAGCGATTTTTTAAACTTTTGAATAGCTATTGAAAAATTACTTGTCGGTTTCAAAACTTTTCTCTGCTCTGGTCAATTGGTAGTGCGCTCGCCTTATAATCTCAGGGTCCGGGTTCGAACCCCCGCCGCGGCATAGCCTTTTGTTTTTGCGAAAAAATTAACTTTCCTTTTTTAACAAAGTTTTTCAGGTCGACGCCACGCTGCCGCCACGCGCACCCCTCAATCATTGTAAGTCCAAACAAAAATTTTCTCTCTTTTTTCCTTGAAATCTGGCCGTTCCAAATCCTAAAAGTTGCCATTATCTGCTGAACTACTGTATCTGAATGGGGGCTATAATTCACTGTACAAGTCGGTAATTTTTGGGGGAAATTGTTAGGTAGTGCTGTTTGATTTCGTCAAACGTTATTTTTAACTTTATAGCTACTTGTCTCGGTTTTAAACTTTATATCCTAACGAAGCTTTGCTAGCTGGCGTTGAACGTTATCCCTCGCTTCCTCTTTCGCTCTCTCTCTCTCTTTCCCTCTCTCTCGCTCTCTCTCTCTATAGCTTTCCCTCTCTCTCTCTCTCTCTCTCTCTCTCTCTCTCTCTCTCTCTCTCTCTCTCTTTCTCTCTTGCTATAGCTTTCTCTCTCTATCGCTTTCTCTCGCTCTCTCCCTCTGGTTCTGTATGTCTATCGTTTTCCTTGATTTCTCTCGCTCTCTCGCACTCTCCCTCTCTCGTTTCCCAAACGATCTCTGCTAGCTTGCCTGGAATTTCTTAAAAAATCGCTGTTAGAACGTCGACTAGACAATTTTAACCTAATGGCTTTCTCTCGTTTTTCACAACGATCCCGGCAAGTCTGTGTTCATCAGGCGATAGACGCTATCTCGCTTTCCGCCTTGCTCTTTCCTCAATGATTTCTGCCAGCATGCCCCATCCTCAAATCCGCTTGAACTTCAAAAAGGTCAACTCAACCTTCCCCCGCCCAAACCTTCCGATTTTCCAGCCATTTTCGCGCCCTAAAAACCCGCTCAAAAATGTGCGAGGGGGGCGAAAAGCGCGCGCTCGGGAATTCCGAGGGGGAAATGGGGCCCGAAAAGAGCTGCGGGCTGGGCACCAGGGGCCCTAGAGAAGGCCCTAGGGCCCCTAGCCAAAAAGGGAAGGGAAGGGACACGCGCAGACAGACAATGTCCCGGTTGTGCGGGGGATATGACAAAGTGTTCCGTTTCTCTCTCTTTCTCTCGCCTCTATGCATGTAATCGATCTCGCATCTCTCCATCTCTCGCTCTTGTCTCTCTCCACACCTGTTGTCAGCCACCGTTGCCAACCTCTGGACACGAGACAACCTGGCTGCTGTGTCGTTCCGCTTCTCACTCTATTCCCGGATACAACTACCCGTTTTTAGGAGTGTTACGGAATTCTGAAAACTAGAGACCAGCTTAGAGCCCAAGTTAGAGCCCAAATAGGGCCAGATAGGACCCAGACAAAATCAAAATTGGGTTTTTCCATCCAAAACCCCGAATAAACTTTCTGTTTTTGGTGAAAAATTCACGAAAATTAGCTCCTTTCGACAAATTCTTAGAATCTCGGATAACTTTCCTGACTTCCCAACCCCTTTAAAACAACTCCCAGCTCATTAATGCCCAAAATCAGCAAAATAGCCATTTTTTTAGCTCTTTGACGGCATGGTCGATTGGTTAAGCCCTCGCCTCCGGAGGCCTACGGCCCGGGTTCAAACCCCAAAGCTTTTTGTGTTTGGTCTCAAAATGCTTTATAAGCTTTTAAAAGACCTATTAATACCTTCAACTCGATCAAAAAAACCCCCACACTTCCTGGCTGCCCTTGGAAATCTAAAAGTTGGATCTCCACGGGGAAGTGGGCCTCCTCCCCTGGCTGTCGTTTTTGCCTGCTGGGTCCCGTCTGGATTGTAGCTCCGGGGGGAACCTTTCCCATTAATTGCCTTTTTCAAAAAAGCAAGGCTTTCCTAGGAAGGCTTCTCGCCCTAGCAGTTTTTTACGACTTGTGGTTTTGAATTCACGATTTTGCGAAATTTGGTGGCGAAATTGGGGTTAATAGCTCCTAAATAGTCCTTAAAAACGTTAAATATATGCTAAATAAGCAATTTAGTTTAATTTAAAGGAGCTAGAAAGTCGGCGAAATCCGTATGAAATCTATAGACGAAAATCGGGTAGTACTCCATTGCCCGTCCCTTTAAAACAGCCAAATTTTGCTGTTTTTTTGCAACTTCTTTGCGTTTTCGTTTTAATAATTAAACCCTATGCTTCAGCGGGCTACTCTGAAGACAGCGACTACACGTCGGACGTCTCATTCCCCATCCATCCAAACGCCGCCCATCCCAATTCATCGGTCCATCAGTGGGATTCGCATCTCCACCCCCACCGTCAACCCCATCATCGACAGACTGCCCAGCACGATCACGTCGTATGTCTCTTTTCCTCAAAAAACTGCTACATAAGCAAAGTAAAAAGATAGTTCCATTAATGCATGCCCATTTGCCCAATTCCCCTTCAGAAATTGCAGGCCTCGTACGAGGTGACGAGGACGCGTACAATGAGACGCGGCTCGACGCTGTCTATGGTATGTTTTTGGCTTCAACGGTCCTTTAAACTAATTAAAACCATAGTAGATGACTTGCTGGTCCCTTTAAATGGTTTGGAAGGCTAACAAAGAGTCAAAGTTCAGCTTTTGGTCCAGCCACAAAAATTCGCACTCGGGGAGTCGAACCTGGGTCGTTCGCCTAGAATCGTAACTTACCATTTAGCGATGAGATCAAAATTGTCGAAAATAGGGAAAAATTCAATACCCAAACTTTTCAGACACGGTGACTGGGGACGATTACCTGGGCCACCCGTACGACTACGGAACCGAGGAAGAGGAACATCACCAACATCCCGGATACGCGGTGGACGACGGTGTGGACGGACAACACCCCGAACCTAATTACGCCCCGCACACCGCGGGGCGAAACAACCATCGGACGAATCGGTACGTGTTTTACAAGCCGCTCATCCTCAAGAAGTTCAGAGAAGCGTTGTGCAGTTTTCAGAACGTTACGATAGGAAAACCTGTAGGGTATACTTTTAGGGACGCCGAGGGCCGGTACGACTCGTACCGCAGCGAGGACGAGTCGACGTACAAGGGCGAGGGCGCGAGAAGGGGATACGATGAGCATTACGGTAAGTGGGGCGTGTTTTAAAGGGATTGGGACACTCTATGTATCCTAAAAATTCAAGGTCTTGTGGTCAAATGGTATTGCGCCCGGTTGCCAGGCAGACGACCCTGGGTTCGATTTCCACCCAGAACAAAACTTTTTGCTTTTTAAGCAGCAGCTATTGAACCTCAGATCATTTTCCCCAGCTGTGAAAAGGGCATCTAGCAAGAATTTTTGCGGAAAAATGTAAAATTTAGCGATATTGGCTTGTTAGCTGATTGGTAGTGCGCTGGGTTTCCAGAAAAACAGCTCGGGTTCGAGCCCGCCAGGTGAATTCTTTTTTTAAGGATTTTCTGGAGATTGTGCAGGTCTGAAAGAAACGAGATTTTAGGCAAGCTAGCAATGACTTTTGGGACATTTTTCTATTTTTTTTAGTAACAAGTATCATTTGTTTCTAGACTCGTCAACCTCATACGCCCATCACGACGATCACGACGAGGACCCCTATGGACACACTTCAGAAGTGGAATATCACCGTGAATACCCCAGAAACCCTCGAGAAGCATACCTCGAAAGCCCCACTACCCACACACCACAGGTATCGTTTCCTTAAAAATTCAAATCCGTCTTCAAGAGCGACTACTCGCGCAGTGTAAGCGCCTCGGGTCGCCCTCCCTCCCACCTACAGTACGACTACGGGGCCTATAACGGGTATACGAGTACGGGGCATACTGTTGACGACCATCTGCCACATCAACAAAACGGATATCGGGAAGAGGAGGAGGAGAGGTGGGTTTTAAAGTATAAACAAGCCTAGTAAGGTGATCCCCTAGCTTATGGCCAAAAAGCAAAAAGTTTTGCCAGGACGGGGGGTCGAACCCGGGGTAGTGCGGGTATGAGATGAGGGCTTAACCAATTAGCCATCTCATGTTCGGAAGGTCAGTTCGGGCTTGGCCGATTGGTTGAGCTCTCGCTTGATACACGTACGGTCCGGGTTCGACCCCCATCCGCGGCTAAACTTTTTTGCCTTTTCAGGTAGAGCTAGCTTTTACCCTTTCTTTAAAGCAATAATGAAGGAAAAACCGGAATGTCCCGGAATCGCGGCAAAAATCTAATTTTTGTTCAGATACATCAGCGACGGCGGCAAGGGCTACACAGCCGATTACGACACGTATAACGAGGGCGCCTCGGAGACGATGCATAATGATGAGGGCAGAGGGTGGGACATTTTTCCGTTTTTAAGCCAGAAAAAATTCAGAAGCGCGACGTGGGCCGACTCGGAGCCGTTGTCATACAATAGCCGGCCGCCTAGAGCCAGTACAAGGTAAAAAATTGCTTTAGAAATGAAAAAGAAGAATTTAAACACGCTAAAAACCGCTAAAAATTTAATTAGTAACAAATTCCTGTAGAAAATTGCATTTCTTAAAAGATATGAATTCAAGATTTGATCTTTTACGAAACAAAAAAGGTTAATCAACGATTGATAAAATACAAGAAACGTTTAAACTTTTAAATGCTGAATTTTACACTGTTAGAGCAACTTAAATAATTTAAAACTGGAATATATAAAAAATAACACGAAAGGCACAAAAAGTTATTTTAATTTGCGTAAATAAGCTATAAAATGAATTTTTGTTTTAAGTACTAATTTTTTACTTAATTTGCCATTGTTCCTACCGTATCCAACAATTCATAAAGCCCTATTTTCGCTTCGGGATCCCAGAAATTTGGGAGTGATTCACCGTGCGCCTACTCTATATGCAAGTCGTTTCGCGGCTTCGATCTCGACCCATCCATGGTCCATCCATCCAGCCACATTGCCATCGATCAGTTCCCATACTTTCCTATTGACACCTTTTCACCCGCTCTTTTCGGCCTGTCGAAACTACCGTCTAAATACCCTCAAAATGTTCCTGTTAAACCCGAAAAAATTCATTCGGATACGGTAGTGATACGGTAATAAAAGTAATTGTCAATTTTTCAGCCGAACATACAACAATCGGTATGATGAGGATGAGTATATGAATGAGGAGGAAGAGGATAGATTGAGGGCTGAGGAAGAGGCCGAGGAAAGGTGGGGGATTTGGAGTTTGTAGTATAAAAGTATATATTTTAAATATAGATGGATTGACCATCACTTTAATTTAGATGGCGATTGCAAAGAGAAGAAGATGAACGTCGACGTCGAGAGGAAGAGGAGCGGCAGCGAATGCTCGATGACCAGCCCACTTTTTCGGAAGGTAGGGCCAAAAAGTAAAAAAATTGCGCCGGTGGGAGTCGAACCCGGACCATATGCCTAGCAAGCGAGAGCTTAACCAATTGGCCAAGGTTGGAAACTTCCAAAAAAATTGTGTAATACCGAGATCTTCAAAAATTTGACGTTTTTAAAGGAACTGGCAAGCTAGAAGTATGTGACGCTGACTTTAACCTTTTTTTATTTGGCAAAACTCTCAATTTTTAGACCGTGACTACACAGTTCAAGCCGTCGTCGACCACCCCCCGCCTCTCATCCCAAATCATGCAAATCAACAGCAAAACTCTGGTGGTGAACGCAGGAATAGCAATGAGCCGTACAACTGGAGGAATGAGGAGAGGAGGTACTGTCGATTTCCAAAATTTTGTATAATTTTATTACTTAAATACGTACACCTAAAGAAAATTCTTAAATAATTGCTGCTCGTTTATTTATTTTTTTGTGAATAGCTGTGTACAGAAAACCTGAGGAGTACGAGCTATTGGCTCCGTGCCAAGATTTTGTCTTGCTAGGCTTAAAACCTAATTTTGCAATTTTAGATCGTCTACCGCGGCCGAGTCGGTTCGCTCGGGATCAGCAGCCCAGGAACGAGCCATGTAAGTTTAATCTTGTGATCTCTCTCTCGCTCTCTCTCGCTGTCCCTCTCTCGATCTCACTCTCTCGATCTCACTCTCGCTCACACTCGCGCTCTCTCTCTCTCTAAACTCTCTCCTCTCAGACTACGGTATATGAACCACATTTCAGGGTGACGATCGTGGAGGAGCCGGCCCTGAAGGAGAAGAGGGAAAAGAAGGAGCTGCACGATCTGTGGCACTGGGCATATCGACAAGTCTGCACGAATCTTGGATATAAGGTTGGAGGCGTTGGGGAAAATCAATCAATATTTTTAATTTTAATTTAATAATTTTTTAATTATATTTACGACAAGATCTAAATTGACCAGAGCCGTTCCCAGTTATTTGGATAGTTTTAAATGTTTCGAGCTCGAGATCACCAAAAAAATGTTGTATGTGTCGTGTCGCTGTCGTGCGTCGCCGTGTCGATATTTCTCGATATTTTTCTTGTTATTCCAAAGTGAAACTCCTGGATGTGACCCTCGACGTCCCTAAAAGTATAACGGGCGCCAGAAGATCCCCCTAGGGACATGCAGCTCGAAGTCGTCGATCCGTCTTGGCCAACGGTCCCCCTCTGACGGGGGCGTCCAAGCCCAAAATATCACTTTTTTCGGGTTCACTCCGCCGACAAATCACCTAAGGGTATTTTGGTCAGGGACTATAGGCCCAACGTCTAGATATTCACGTTTTTGGCCACTAATTTTGGCCCTTCGCTCAAGTTCCCAGTTTTCGGCTACTACCAAGCCAGCAGAACAGAAATTCGGGAGTCAAAACCGGTTTTAAAGGTCTATTGAAGCCAATTTTTGCCGTCCTGTCAGTAGAGTGAGGGAGCGGCAGGCCTCCTCAGGCTTTCTTGGGCCGAATTGCATTTCCGCGCCTGCCGACGCCTGGCGGAAGCCTAAGGATTTACGCAGGCTTTTTATGCAATGCGTGAAAACATGTTAATCTGGTTACTGCATCTAAAACGTTGGTATCTTTTGTCGTAATAACAAATTACAAGGATGCCGAAGGTGGGAAACATATAGGCAAGATATCAGGAGAGGCAATTGCATCCCCCGCCCGTTTGATCCGCCTCTTGGCTTTTACGTATCCGCGTGCTATTAACGTATCGTGCCGTAGGGTTCGTCAAAAACAGTACCCTAATCTAAGGCTAAAAAGAGTCTTTTCAAAAAAGGGCTTTTGGTTTTCGCAAAAAGAGATCAATTCTCGTGGCAACAAAAAGTGCTAAATTCCTTTAAAACTCTGAAAAATGCCACAAAATGGGGAACAACAAAAAGCTGCTGGCTAATTAAAATCTTAATAAACTTGGGACTGCTTTAGATTACAGGTCAGGTCCACAGACAGAATTTTTATTTATAAGCCGAAACGGCTAAAAACGAGTCTGTCCCTTTTAATAAGGTGCCAGCAACTTTTGGTTGATCCCACATTTTGTGGCATTTTTCAGAGTTTTAAAGGAATTTAGCACTTTTTGTTGCCACGAGAATTGATCTCTTTTTGCGAAAACCAAAAGCCCTTTTTTGAAAAGACTCTTTTTTAGCCTTAGAGAGAATTTAGCCCTTTTTGCCTCAATTTTGTTGTTAAGATCATAGAATCGTCACTGGTTATTTATTCAGATGAACCCTTGTACACAATACTTCAAAAAAATTCGCCTGCGGCGCTTTGTAACGGTACTAAAAACCTTAACGATGCATTCGGGCCAATCGGCAAAAACGATGTTGCGGGCGGGGTTCGAACTCGGGAGCCAAGTCTTCCCAGTAAAGCGTGCTAACCACTAGGCCAACGGGGAGACTGGAGGCCTGTCCTCGGGGACCTAGACCCGCCAAGCTGACCCGGGGAAAGGGGGCCGAGAAAGGGAGGGTGGCACCCCGTATGGCGAAGGTTTAAAGTTATAAAAACTCAAAGGGGAAGCATTCATTCGATGCAATTTCTTCTTTACTTACTCCAGCAAGGTCTAATGCATATTTGAGCAAAATTTCAGCCCAAACGGACATCACTAACCCTTGTTTTGGCCGCAATTTAGCTTTTAAACTTAAAAATTAAATATAAATTTTTTAAAAGCCTATTTTGAAAAAAACGCTTCTTCCTCACCTTCATTTACATCAAGTCAATATATGTGGAAAATTTCAGCCCAAACGGACTATGGGAAGGCACTTTTTGACGACTACAAAGGTTTTGCGGGCATACATACATACAAACAAACGCAGACCCCCCCTCGAAACGCAATTTAAATCGGCTGTTAAAATTCGAAATTTAACTTTTTTTCAATTTTTAAAAATTTATAGTATGCAAAAAGTGTCGCCGGTTCCGATGGTGTATTCAGTTTCGCGATCCGATGCATGGTTCTTTTTTAAATCCGGAAAAGGACCCCAAAGAGTCGTATGGGGGGGTACCTCAAACCAAAAGGGGTTAGCGGGCTACGCCCGCTACCCCCGACTTTGTAGAATATTTTTGAACCCAATACAGCTCTTCGACCCCCGAACGTTTCAAAAAAATTCCTTATTTGTTCCGCAAAAATTCGAATATTATACGACTTTACATAAAATTTCCAGATAAAGCCTGACTAATTAGAGGTCAGGCGTGCTTTGCATAGCCCAGGCTCAGCCTAGGCGATGCAAATTAAAAAAGCCTGAGGAAACCTAGGCTAGCCTAGGCTTTAGCCTAGGCCTCCCTCACTCTACCTGTCAGCCTGACGTAATTCCAGAAAATTAGCATATTTTATGCAAATTTCGAAACATGGTTTTGCAACCCTTAAAACCCCTTAAAAAGTACGTAAAACGGAGTGAAAGCGAAAGGACCTGTGGACGCTTCAGTGGCCCTCGAAAAGCGCACACTCAAAAGTACCCATTTTTAACGAATTTACGAGAGGGAGAGAGAGGGAAAGAGAGAAAACTAGAGAGAGTGAGAGGGAGAGAGAGCTAGAGAGAGCTGGAGAGAGTGGGAGGGAGAGAGAGAAGCGCAAAAATCGGCGTGGATTTCTGGCCCCCGGACGCTCAACTCCAAGCAAAAATGAATCCAATTTCCCCCAAGGGGGGTCTGGCTGATTTTTTCGAAACTTCGTAAACAAGGCCCTCCGTGGTGTAATTAGGATTTTAGGGGAATGTATGGTCTAGACTTTTAAGGAAAAATATGCTAAAAACTTTATCTACCTTGAGAGACGATGAGAGGGGGAGAGCGAGAGAGAGAGAGAGAGAGAGAGAGAGAGAGAGAGAGAGAGAATGACGTGCCAAATTTCTCAGTTTTTTGTGGTGAGCCCGGAAAATCTGGGCGCTCTACCCCATATAATTACTGACAAGCTGAGGTAGGGCTGGCAAAAGTTGGCGGGGTCCTGGTCGGACTTCTACAACCCGCCAATTTGGACACGAGGGGCACTTTTCACAGGGCTGTGGCCAACCCCTGCTGGTTCATGAGATTGGGCCAATTCCCTCTTGTTTTACAAGCGGTAGCTGTATACCTTTTTGGGTCGTTAGGTTTTCAGGAGCTTTCTTCCGGCTGCATTTTCTTGTTTCAGGTTTTAGCCTATTGATATGATAGATTTTCGAAATAAATATCCGTTTCCTAGCCTTAAACTGACCATTATCTGGCTTACCACCAAAAAGCAAAAAGCTTCACGCTTGTCGGGGATCGAACCCGGGTAGTGAGCCTCCCAAGCGAGAGCTTAACCATTGCGCTGCACGGTTCTGAGGAGGTTTCTTTTCCGGGCCTTCGCCCGGTATGGCTAAATGGTTAAACTCTCGCCTCATGCGCATACCACCCGGGTTCGACCCCACCTGCAACAAAATTTTTGCTTTTTAAGCCCTGGCCAGCCCTTGACTACCTCTTTCTAATGTCCAGACTCCCATACACCTCCGACCTCGATTCTCCGCCTCAAGGCCCACAGTTTCCGGGCCCTTCTCCCTCTGAACCGGAAATGGGCTTGCTGGCACCCGCACCCTCGTCCCTGGCTGTCAAAATATGTTTTCAAGCGGCGGCAAGTGGCTTCACGACTCCTTTAAAGTTTGTAAATATTTATTTTTGGTTAGCTAGGCGGGTGGCGTGATTTGTGGTTCACTCCGTGCTGGGGGTTCAAATCCGGCGGCGTCAGTCTGTGGCGGATTATCAGGCTGGATTTGGGAGCGGAATTAGGCCATTTTATCTTCTGCCATTTGTTCGTGCTTTTGTACTATTTTATAACAATTTTTCGCGATATTTGGATTCAGGAAAGCCGCAATTCCGTGAGGCGGCTAGAGACGTCCAGCTATAAATTTGGAATCGTTCACGATTTGGCTATTTTGGGGGCAAGAAAAAGCGGCTGAGAGAGGGAGAGAGAGAGAGAGAGAGAGAGAGAGAGAGATGTGGAGAGAGCATCGTAGGGATTCCTATTTGAGGAGTGCTGCTAATATCAATAAATTTGGATGCAATTTCTAGCTCTCCCGCTCTCTCCCTCACTATCTATCTCGCTCTCTCTCTCTCTCTCCCTCTCGCTCTCTCTCCCTCTCTCTCAACGCCCAGGCTTGTATTTTAGGATTGATTGTTTATTTTCACGCTATTATCCTTAGAGCGATTAAAAACTATAACAAACATCATTATTCCATTCATTTTCCCGTTGGCGTAAAGAGTATGGGGGCGGAAGTCGGCGGGTTTTTGAGGATTCGCGTCCAGCACAAAGTGCCCCCTAGCCGCCACTTTTTGTCTGCCAACCCCAAAAAGAAGGTTGTTTCCTCTGCTTCCCCCTAAATGAGCCTCGTTATATTGCTCCTCGAGGGCTACGCGTCGTTCCGATGAACAACTTTTGGATCTTGGTCTAGGTTATAATTCCTTAGCATCGTTTATGGTCTAGTTTTCGAAAATTTAAACATTTTAAGTTAACTCCAGAGTTTTGAAAGAGCCAAAAAGCAAAAACCACCGGGGGTAGGGGTCGAACTCTGGTAGTGTGCATCTGAGGCGAGAGCTTAACCAATAGACCAAGCTGTCAAAAACCCAAAAATGCTGTATTTTACCATTTTCAGCAATTGGAAAACTGGGAATTCCTTTACAGGGACAGGGAAATCGGGTACCGCTTCGTAATAACCTTAATTTGAGTCCATTGACCATCATTTTGCCTGTTTTTCGTCAATTTTCATGCTGTTCTAGTCTCTTTAAAACATATTTACCCTCCGCGATTTTCAATCTACTCTCTTCACCCTGGGTTTCGTAATGAATTCCGAGAGGATTCCGGGAGGATTCGGATGATTTGTTTGAGGTCTTCCGAGGGTTTTCATCA